GCTCCCTGCTATTCGGTTGACACTTTGTCGAATCCCGGCCAGAATTTTCTCAAGTCCAGAAGAAATACGTTCACTTTAGCAATTTAATTAAAATTTTCCACTGCATACTTTCCGAAAGAGTTGGTCATAATCGCTGGTTGCCTTTGCTTCGGTGTTTCTCAACTGGCGTAAAGTTTATTTTTATTACTCTTTCAAGTAACATTAAAATTTAGTTGCATACGCAACAGCTCAGGGGGGGTAAAAAGAGGAGGTTGGGCGTTTGGCTATAAAAATCCTCCAGTGTAAAACTATGCTGCGCTTTTATAAGTATTTTATTTGTAGCATCCCAACGGAGAAGGTGGAGGCATGAGATTCTCTGTTCCTTAGACTCAGCAGATTTAGCAATGCTTTGCCAAAGTTGCCGCATTAAAAATACAACACTAGGGTTGAGGGTTGAGGGCTGAGGGTTGAGAAGTTGTTGGGTTGTGCCAAACACACAGAGTTGCAATTTGCCCATTGAAGGAGTAGGATTGGGAAAGGGAAAAGTGCCCAGGGCCACAGAGTGGGAAATGCAATGAATCGTTAAATTTAGCATCGTATTTCAATGCAATTCAGTAGAACGAAACGAAACGAAACGAAAACGCTTCTGATGCTGACAGGTGAATTGCAGCTGTCAGTCAGTGGAAACGACAGAGCCCGAGTTCGGCTCATCTTCTCGTACTCGAAAGGCATCTTTTTCCTGTTTTTCCCCTGTCTGCCAAATGATTTGTCGCCAACATGCCCACATACATATGCATGTACCTACATAAAGAAATACATACACAGAAAAAAAATACACGTTACTATGATTTCGCATGGTAAATATATATTATATATAACTTTTACCATAGAACAATGTAAATTTTATATTGATGCATGGTATTTCTTTGAATTTCTCTCTTTGCAAATTCTCTCATATCGAAAAAGAGAGAAAATGTAAAGATGGCGGCTAGATCTATTCTGGGTAAGAGCGAGACAGCAATATTAGAGACTCTCCAAAACATAAAAAGAGAGCAAAAAGCAAGATGGCGATGAGTAAAACATGAAAATGATACACCTTATGTCTATAGATAGAATTAATACTGAATTTTATCAAAATGATCATCATAGCCTATAAGTTCGCGTTTCTGTGTACCTATATATGGACTTATAGAGCCGGGAAAGCAGCTTAGCAGCTCATCCTCTTCCTGCACGAGCATCTTATGACTATTTGCAATGGAAAGCGTTTCCATTACCAACCTAGCTATACAACCGAAAACCCCTTTTCTTTTTCGTTCCCATAAAATGTTACCCACTCGCACTTTGCACTTATTAAAAAGCCGTACACTTGATGTGGGGTAAAATACTGAAATTCTGGCTTCGGGCATAAATTGCCAGAATGTAGACGCGAGCGCAGGAGGCCTAACTTTCAAGTTTTTCCCTAACTAGGCCTGGGGCCATAAAACCCAGCTGCATACTTTACGATTCTATCCAGCATATGCTGATTTTATATATAGTATATGTGTATATATGGCACACGAATCCACATTGCTGGCTAAAGTAGAGATTGAGGCATATTCCCTTTTTCCCGTGAATGCCACACGGGGTCAATTTTTATGAGCATTTTGGCATATTGGAAAATGGGGCCAAAAGTTATGGGTATAATTTAAAGGGGTTTCCATACAAAAAGAAAAGAGTACAGAGGTGGCGTTAAAGGGGGGCAGACATATCATATATTTGACGTAATTTAGTTGATTCTGTGGCAAAGGCGAAATTGCAAATATAAAGGTTTTAAAGAGATAAGCATAGTTAAATTCTTAAATTAGTAATATTAAATTAATTCCATTTTATAAAGAGCTGATTCTGCTTGTTAATTTAGGCTTCAACTTCTAATGCTTGAGTGGAAATCTAATATAACTAACATTAATACATATTGGTAACATTATTTAGGATTTTAAAAGCATATACTTGTGTAAAACTAATTTAAGTTAGAGACCTTGTTCAATATTTACATTTAATTCGACAAAATACCACTTAATTTTTTAATTCCACATATCATCATTTTATGTTCCACTTGACCTATTATCAGTTGAATCTATCAATTTGAACTTTAACCCATTCTCGTTTTGTCTACGCCCCTGATTGGGCAAAAAGCTTAAAGAATATTTTTTTTTTCATAAAATCAATTTGAATTTTCTATTTCCCGTTTTGCTTCTTTTTTGTAACTTTTTTTTTTTGCAGGAGCCATAGTAAAAATGTTAGTATTAATTTCCATATAAATTGCTTGAATGCGCGTATTGGTATTTGTGCCCGGGTGTGTCTGTGTGTGTGTGTGTGTGTAGGGCTTAGTGTGAGAGTGTGTATCTATAACTGCACATTTCAAACGCTCAAATCAATTTGCACATATCAACAACGAAATTGTTTGCTCAATGTGGACTGCCAATGCGATTTTTCTTCTTTTTTTTTTTTTTGCAACACTAACGTGCGAAATGAAAAATCAGCAAAAAGTTGCACGCGAGCAAAACTTGGCTGCAGTTCAGATTCCTTGATTTTCCACCATACCACCTACATTTACATATATCCTGGGGCCTGTGTATCTATGTAATCTACAAATTTCATTCGCTATGCCTTTAATCTTTGTAACAAGAAATGAAGTATCAGTACCCACAAATAGCACAAACATAATTAAATTTATTTAAATTTTATCTCTGTATTTTCCTGCTAAAATCAACAGCGAACAGCAGTCTTGGCAATCCGGCAAATAAACCAAAATCCCTGTTTTATGGCCTTAATGATACGCTTTTTATGAGTCGGCACGGAAGTGTCTTGAATGCTGTCTGTTTGGCTGTCTTTTCATTTTTTTCTTCTTCTACCGCATTTGCTTTTGCCTTTAGCCATTGCCATGCCATCAAATTGTTTAAGCAAATATAAAACTTTACAAACGCGAGAGAAAAAAAAAAATTGGGTATATATTTACTGAGAATTTGCGTTTGCCTCTGAAGTTGGCATAAAGCGTTGGTGGAGAAGAGCTCATTACAGCCACAAAAACCAATATGCTTATTGCTGATTCGCCGCCAGCTCAGAGCCATGGCCATAAAAACTGTTAACGTAAGCGTAAAATGCTTTCAAGTGCTACGCAAATCTAGCAAATCTAGCAAACCCACGATGGAAAACCATCTTGTGGGTTGTAAGACAGACGTATTACTTCGTTTTTCCCCTCTCATTGCCACATCTTTTATAATGAGCAAAAGCAACAATTGTTGTTAGGTGGCAAAATTCTACTTTCCTTTGCCAATTTTCTGCCAGCTAAACGGGCTTAATTTTTCATGAAGAAAATCATTAAAATTTAAATTGATTTAAATATTCGACAAATTTTGCATTATAAATTGCAACCATTTTTTGTATCTCCTGCTGCCTTAACTTATTGCACTGGCAACGTGGCCAGAAAACTTGTCTCACCAAAGTTGAGCCCAGAAACTTTGGTAAATGATACAGGCTGACTGGGCCGCAGCAACAGCAAATTTGCCTCTATTATGGCCAGGCATCGTAAACCAAAATAGTCTGCCCACAAAAAGCGGTAGCCAGAGGATGCTTGCCTTGTGGAGAACTTTAAATTATTTAGAATACTCTTAGACTGCACAGAGTACAATGTCCCCGATTTTGTTTATGCTGCCCCTTTTTGGGGTAAATATTATTTATTTTGTGGCTCAATATTATTTACACTCAGACAAAAAGAGAACAGGAAAAAAGCCAAGCTGTACTTTCAATTTGAGAACTTCTTAATAATTCGATAAAAGAAGTTCTCAAATTCAAGACAAATGTGCTCTTGATTTTGATATTTGTATTTTATGTTTTTTGAGAAGAAAGTAAGTCTGAAAATCAAGAAGAATCAAGAATACGATTTTGAGAGTTTGAGATTGAACTGATCTTGGTTCACACTTAAGATCTAGAAACCGCCTTTGAGACAGATGTTTTTTGAGTGTAGTTGCGAGGATGTGTAACTTAATATTGGTAGAAATATTACAATATTATTAACTTCTTTTAAAAATAATAACGTAAGTATTTTTAAGTATAAACCAAACACGTCTCTAAGTATGTTTTATGTATAAACTTAAGGTAATTATACCCGTTACTCGTAGAGTAAAAGGGTATACTAGATTCGTCGGAAAGTATGTAACAGGCAGAAGGAAGCGTTTCCGACCCCATAAAGTATATATATTCTTGATCAGGATCACTAGCCGAGTCGATCTAGCCATGTCCGTCTGTCCGTCTGTCCGTCTGTCCGTCTGTCTGTCCGTCCGGATGAACGCTGAGATCTCGGAAACTATGAGAGCTAGGCTATTGAGATTTGGCGTACAGATTCCTGATCTTCTTACGCAGCTCAAGTTTGTTTCAGTAGACTGCCACGCCCACTCTAACGCCCACAAACCGCCCAAAACTGTAACTCCTACAGTTTTGATGCTAGATAGAAAATTGTAACTGAAATGTATTGTTCTCATCAATACCTATCGATTGACCTAAAAAAAAGTTTGCCACGCCCACTTAAACGCCCACAAACCGCGAAAACCTGTGACGCCCACAACTTGCATGCTAGATAAAAAATTTTAACTGAAATGTATTGGTGTCGTCAATACCTATCGATTGATCCAAAAATAATAATGATCCAAAAATTTAACGCCCATAACGCTTAAATCTGTCTACCGCCGGTAGGTGGCGCATTTTAATCTCGCTTTGCTGCTTGCATATCTCCATTTCCCTTTGAGTAACGGGTATCTGATAGTCGAGGTACTCGACTATAGCGTTCTTCCTTGTTTTAAAGTATATATGTATGTAAATACTAGTTATATCAGATAAACTACCACATAATAACAACGTCAAAAATCCAATCAATATCAATTTAATCAAAACTTTAACAATAACTCGCGTTAATCGAAAGCAAATCGGTCGTCGCTCTCGTGCGCGTTTCATAACGTCATTACTAACCGGTCTGATGCCCATTACAGATGCAAATTATTCGGATATACCATATATACAATATCTCACACGTAAGTCTGGGCTGGGTCCTTAGGTTGTGCCGTTGCGAAACCATTTAAATAACGCGTTTTATATTTAATTTCAATCAAAAAGTGATGCAAAATGAAAAAAAAAAATAATGAAAATTCATAAATCGAATTGATATGTTGGATAAACTACTTTACGTTCTGGTTGGAAAGGAGCGTATATGTATATGTATATATATATATGTTTGTATGACAGCAGGCAGGACATGATGCTATTGCAGCATGCAACATGCACATGACAATATTTTTGCTGGTTGTTTAACGTTTCGTGATTTTTGCCAGATTTTTAATGCCACACATCTGTTTTCCCTGCCGCCGCCGCCGCCGTCGCCGCCTGGCTTCCCTATTCCCGCCGAATCCTGGTATCCTTGGTATCCTTTTTGCCACACTCACACAACCGGCCAGTCACGTACGTTACGCGTGTGCGCGTCACAGTGTATGTGTGGGCAAACAACATGCGACGTTGTATTGACAGCATATTGTGACAAATGTGTAAAAAGAATATATGAAAACACTCCGTTCCCAGGAACCAGGGAAAAAGCGAGATGTACGAAATAATGGAAATGCATTCGAGTGATGCAGCAGAGAATGCTTTAAAAAGCGGCTGATGCCTACTTAATGCTTTTGAGTTTTAAAATGCAAATCAAATAATAAAAAACTCTTTTGTTTAGGGTTTTAACAAACCGATTAGCAAGGACAAATGTGTGGCACACAAAAAACAAACAGCACTCGAAACTTTAAATATCTAAGCCCAACATAATATCTTTTGGTCCGCGCTTTTTTGAAGAGCCTTTTAAGCCCAGTTAGTAACCCACATTTGCCATGTTCTTTTATGACCCTCCACAGATCCACCGGAGATCATCAGGAAGCCGCAGAATCAGGGAGTTCGAGTGGGCGGCGTTGCCAGCTTCTATTGTGCGGCACGCGGTGATCCCCCGCCATCGATAGTGTGGCGCAAGAATGGCAAAAAAGTTTCGGGTAAGTTTCCTCTCGAAAACGGGTCTTCTTCGGGACCCCCCGCCCCTTTTTTAGGGCCCACTCTAACTCTAAGCCTGGTGGTTTTATGTCGTTCACAGGAACCCAGTCTCGTTACACGGTGCTGGAGCAACCCGGCGGGATTTCCATACTACGGATTGAGCCCGTACGGGCGGGACGCGACGATGCCCCATATGAATGTGTGGCGGAGAACGGGGTGGGCGATGCCGTTTCCGCAGATGCAACTTTAACCATCTATGAAGGTAAGTGCCATGCCGTTGTCGACATCATCGTGTGCAGTTATTTATGGCCTTCGAGTGCAGCTTCCTAATTGAACCCCACTCTATGGGGGATGCACTGGAGGAAATTTCAGTATACTAAACAATTAAACATAAACCTTACATTTTTGAACATAGGAGTTTTTTAAAACAAAATTTAAGTCTTTTTTCTGAATTACGTAGAACGTAATACGTATTCATATTGGCAAAATAAAAATACCAAAAAATACTATAAATGTCAAAATATTAAATACAATTTAATATCTTGATCAAAGTGGAACGTGGTACGATATAAATATTGTATATGTATGTTTATGTACTTAACAAAAAAAAGCAAGATACTAGAAATAGGTATGGCTTATTATATTTTGATCAAAATGGTATTTAATACTTACTTTAGTATTTAATACAATCAGAGTGGTACATTTATTTTGGCATTTCTTTTTGCATCACGTACGCAGATTTTTTTTGTGTGTTTTAAAACAAAGTTTGTATTACCCATCTAACTGAATCCTTTTATTTTCCGGTATAGGAAGAAAAGAGTCGTGATAGAGCGACACAAAAAGTTTCGTTTAGTATGCGTCGCAATGTAAACTACGTTCATACATTGATTTTGAATTAAAACTGGGCAAAGAACTTGGCGTAAATGGTAAACTTTTGCGAAGCCCAAACCACCAGGCCCCCAAGGGTGGCGGTAGAAAGTTATTTGCCAGCTTGTTTGTGTGGCTTAAATTACTTGCCAAAATTTACTTTTGCTTATTTACAACTGTGCAAAGGATAAAGTTTTTGCTCTCTAAGCCTAATCAAGTCTGTGCGGGGGGGTGGTGGATGGGCTTGGATAGCCAGGCAATTGAACTAATTTGCTTAAACTGAGAGCAGGCCAAGTATTTGTACATTCTCATCTCTCCCACTCTTTTTCCATTGCAAAATTATAAACAGCAAAAAGTTCAATAACAAAAATTGCTCACCCCAATGGGACTGGAGCGTAGGAAAAGGGGAAAAAGTTATAACTTTTAATGAGATTAAAGCAGCAAATTATTTGGTAAATCAACTCCAATACAAAATACATATTGATCGATGGTCTCTGGATGGTTGAGTTTATTCGAAGCAACTTGAAAGTCTTGGCAAAATAATTAAAAGCGTTCTTTGTTTATAACTTAATTAAAATGTTGCAATGTCTTAAAATTGCTTATTTTGTTTCAGTACATACAGGAGATATTATTTATAGTTTTTACTTATTTATTAGCTTAGCCAAAATGTAATATTGATTTCCCTTGCTTTTAATTTATGGAGATTCTGTTGCGTGAAAAGCTAACGAGGCGAGTAAATTACTTTACCTTGGCCTGCCTTTCTAGTCTTGTGCAGAACTTTTACCTTCATTCGCATGGTTGTTAGTCCGCGGCGCTAAACTACACTAATTACTTCCCCCTATATACCGTATCCCCATTTATAGGATTGGGGGGTCCTTCACTCGCTTTTGAGTCTATCAGCGACCGTTACAACCTGCCACAAATCAAATGCACACCAATTACGTGGCGCCAGAGTGCGCAGAGAGCATAATCAACTCGCATAATTAACAACTAAAAATGCAAACGTTGCCACTACTGGCCGCATAAAAAGACCAGGATAGAGACATTGGGTAGAGGTTGAGGTGGTAGGTAGGTCCAAAACCGACCTAGAGTGTATCAACAAAAATATGTTTCTCCCTTTTTCCATTTTTTTTTTTGCCCCGTTCACCTGGCCTTTCTCTGTGCAATTTTCACACATTTTGCGGTTCCCTTTGGCGGCCTCATAAACAACCAACAAACAACTAGCTAAAGCCCAAAACAACAACAATAATAAACAAGCTAAAATAGCTGGCAGACAGTAGTAAATTATAAGTTGGAGCTGTAACTCCTAGACTCGTGGATAAAAGTAGTGCACATTACTCATACGCCGCGTACATAAATTTTCCACCCCAGCCTTTGGGGTACGTAATTATTTTCCGTTTACAAAATGTCTGCCAAACACCTGGAAGTCATCAGTGAAAAATAAGAGTGGGTGTGCGATTATGCTTGAAAATATGGTGAATACCAAAAGAGATTTACCATCAAAATGGTGGAAAGAAACGGAGCAAAATTACATGAAAAATGAATAAGTTTTATAACTTAAAACCAAAATTTATTACCCCTTTTTGCTGTTTATAGTCTTCTGCAGCTGTCCCAAAATAACCCACATTTTGCTTTGGCACTTAATTAAAATGTTGCATTGTCAAGAGCACAACATTCATCCAGAGATTCAGCTGAAAACATGACCGCCGTCCGCTAGATAACAAAGTCACACAGCCATGAGCAAACACAACATGGCTAAAAAGGAAAATCGTGGCTTAATAGCAAAATAATAATGCAGCTAGCAAATGGAAGACAGCATTATAATAAATATACCAAAATACCGAAAAAATGTAGGTGGGGGGGACCAAAAAAACTTATCGCTTGCTATAAATTTAGTCAGAGCGTGCGGAGAACAGAAGCAATCAGCCAACAAATTGTAAACAGTAAATTTCAGCAGCCAGCAAATAAAGGGGCGGTGAGTTGGCCAAAAAGACCGGGCCACATTAGCACTAAATCGCAACGACTAACGCAGTCAGTTGGTTAAGCGTTTCGGGCATAAATATACGCAAAAAAAATAAAAGGGGGAGAAGGATGCTCTAGAGCCACGCCTCCAACGCTGTGGAGATTTATTCAGCAGCAAAGAGAAGCAGCCAGCACAAAACTAATCTTTATTTCGATATTTGCATAAAAAACAAACATGTCAAAAAATATATATGTATGTATAAGAGCGGGAATCCGCTTCACACGGTTCAGACTCTATTTTCCCCTCTTTTTTTAAACAGTATTTTTTGGGGGAGTGCATAAAGCTGCAAAGGCAAAAAGGGGATTTACACAATCCGCCCCCCTCTTTTTGCCAAGATATTGCACGACAGGCGAGGAGACAGAGTCACGTTACTTGCAGGTGTTGCAGGTGCAATCTATCCAAAAAACCTGGCCCGGTGTAGTTGTACCGGGCTCGGGCTCGTCGGCTTTGCGGCTGGGTGGAGTTGCACGTTGGGGTTTGCAACACCCGCTGCTATATACAAACATACACACACCCACACATCGCTGTGGCAAGTGTTTTTGATCTCGCGCTGCTTTAGCCTGTTGAGAATTTTGATTAAAAATGCTTTCACGTGAAACTCAAACGTGCTTCTCTGCATATGTGGGCGCCTTTATTGGCATTTGGGGTGGCGTTTATTTTTCCACGCCACTTTCTCCCCCGTCGTTGTGTGTGAAAATTTTTACATTGAGATTTATCACGCAAAAAATAAAACAAACAAAAAAGAGTTATATGCATATATATGAGCGGTTGAATGTGAAAACCAAGGTGAAAAAAGTTAAGCGTACAAAAAGTGAAAAATATAAACTTGCCACATGGTCATGGTAACTTTTTACATGCGAAAATTAATTGCCAGTGCTTGGATTCTGCCAGTGTCATATAGAAATTCATTATCTATTGCAATTAACTAAATGTTTTTATCAAGTCTTTAATTTAAGGGATTCCAATTTAAAGGGTATTTCTTCCCTTTTTATAAATTTTTGTTTAACCAGCCCATCTTGTACTTTATTAATCTGCGAAGCATTTAATTATTTTCTTGTAGAACCCCCTCTATTTAGTTCCAAAATATTTGTAGCTTCCGCTGGCGTTGTCTAGACGGCCAAAAACAGCTAATGAAAGCCGCTGCCTTACTGCAAATTGCAATAAAATCATCAGAAAGGCAATCTACATGGCCGCAAAGCAAACCCAAAACAATTTGCTTTTAAATTTGCCTGCCAAAAAGCATTTTAGCACCTCAAACGGCTAACAATCTTCCCTGCTGTTTTTTTTTTGGCCCGTCGTTGTTCTGTTGCCTGGAAAATCCCTGGGCCAAAAACAATATGCCGTCCGACGTGGAGGCGCAAATAAATTTCATTAATTGCCAGCCGAAAAGGAGACTGCGATGGCATCGTTCTAGAATTTCGCAGTTGGGAAAGGGGGCGAGAGCATTCATTAATCTCACTTTATAGTAATAAGCGGCTTTGCTGGTTACGGGTTGGTTTGGTTTAGGTTTGGGTTTCTCCTGGTTTTTTACCACCCTTTTTTTTATTTTTTTTTGTGGGGGGGGGGGGGATGGAAGGGATTCCGAACTGTTGGACCATTAGTTGGTCTTGATTAAAACGCTGGACTGAACGGGGGAAAGCCGGGCTGCACTTGTTGCAAAGTCAAATGGCATGTCCCGGGCATTGGGGAAAACTTCATCCTTGCTGCAGCTTTGGACCCGCTGTGCACACATAGACAAACATTGACAATACACTGGGCGCATTTAACTGGCCAACGGCATTGGCCACATCCTCGGCCACCAGGAGTCCTCGTCCCTCATCCCTCATCCTTGCCGCTTTTCGTTCAGAGTCCTTCGTCCTTTTGGCCCTTAGCACCGTTTGCGGTTTGCCTAAAAAGTCATATTAATAATGAAAATTCCACAGTAGCGAAAAGTTTAAATGGGCGAAATTTGCTGCGGAGCAGAGCCGGCTACTCAGGCCCTGCAGCAATGCAGCTGTGGCACCAAGCTGTGCCTGGAATAAGGATCCTGGCTGCAGGATCCAGGACTGCCCCACAATGAAGTGTGTGTGTTGCAAAGTTATTGGGCTTATAGCTGTTTATATTTAATGTATGACAAAAGTGCTGAACTTAAAGCAAAGAAAAAAGTAAGTGATCACAATTGAAAAGTTGCAGTAGGTAAACTTCCCTAACTCTTGATAATAGAAAATTCAAGCTTCGATAACTTCGATTACTCCATTGTTATTTGATAAGCCATTTATGGTGATTTTACAACACTACGACTTTAAAAATTGATTTTGTTTTTATCCAGCCATTTTTCAATGCTGAATAAAACAGGATCTAGAACTACCCTACAATGAAATGGGCAGTAGTTA